GAGAGCTGTCCCGAGTCGACGCTGCCCAGGCCTGTTACCAAGACATGTCTTCCCGTAACCGTGCGCGATTCCGCTCCATCCAGGTCAGCCACCTTCTAGACTCACTCGCCTGCAGAGTTTACCTATTCATCTCCCCACCGCTAAACTTGTTAAACCTTTGAACTCGATTCTATCGTAGATACTCCGAATTGCCGAGATCGAGAAGGCTTCTGATGTCCGTCGTCCCAACATCAAGCAACTCCTTGTTCCCAAGCTTCGATTCCCATTGCCTCACCGCGTCGTCATGTACCGAAGCAAATTCCTTGCCACAAGACCCTCGACTTTCTACTAAACTGCCTGTCATGTATTGTTTGTTCATGGTTACGGCGCCCAGTTTACTTGTTCGAGCAAGCAATACTACCAGTCGCCTAACCTTTCGTCATTCTCATACCTCCCCTCTACACTAGTCCATCAGCCCGGTCAAACGGAGACCCAACGCAAGTTGGGATCCTCTACCCTTGGTCGACCGCGGCCTCTGCCCCGGTGTCCGGCGATGGTCAACCGTCATGAAGTCGCTTCAACGTGTGTATGATCATCGATTGCTGGCTGCCAACCTTAGATGCACTAATCTGTGTTCAAGATGCCCATACCCATGAGTAATAGTATTTTTAACATAGTCAAATGTTTATCAGATGGATAGGTTAAGATGTTTCGGGGCCCAAGAGCTGAATAAACCTGCGTGACGTGTGCCCAGTGAGTTGAGAGCACTCGGAAGCGAAGTAAGGAACAGAGAACTTGCAATAACTCCGAGCTTAACATAAGCCTCTCGATCGGAGGGTCCCGAAGGGACCCCGCGTCCCGAAGGGACGCTCTCCGAAGGAGAGGCTTACCTGGCAAGTCAGACTGGCAGCCTGAGTACATGGAAATTTTACCCTGGAAATTGATAATATAGTGTTCAAAATTTAATTAAAAATTCAACACAACTCCTTCTCACTCGCCCTTCCGCCTGATGATAGCCTTGCATCTCAGGTATCTCCTGTATTTTTTTTGGAAAAATTACACCAATAATTCGCGGCTCAGTCCCCAGTTTTGCTTGGGGACTAGCTAACGTGTTGCACCTGCAATTTTTTGGACCTCTCGGATTATGCAGGTGTCGGATCATTGAAAGTCTCACGGTTTTTTTAGTATCATCTTATAACTGCTTTCTTCTTTGACAGTCCTTCTTCCTGTGGGACTATAAGATGGAAGACACAATTATAGTACATATAAATTTAAATTCATTTCGACATCTATGTGTTTATGGCCACAGGTGCCGGATATTTACAAGGAGGGATCCGGCACCAACGGGGACAGATTGTTTACAGAATCTCCCTCTTAGCTTGGCAATATTTGCCAGATGTGAAAGAAACCCAGTACATTGGCAGCGGGACCAGGTGTAAAAAACTCTCAGGATTTCAGTGGTGCAGGAGGCGTAGCGTGAATCAAAGTGGTTATGGGGGATAGTAGGCCCTGAAAGGTTCTCTCAGCCATTTGGCTGGGGGTGCTCAGCCCAGATTTGACAGATTATATGCAAGTCCCTCCTTCGGAGGCGCTTCGCGCCTCCTCGGAGGAGGGGACTTGTGTTAAGTTCGCAATAACTCCGGCTAAAGCCAATCACCTGCCGGACAATCAAAAGATGTACAAACAGCTCAATACTTGAGCTCTACTAACCTTCTGCGAGGAGGCGCGAAGCGTCTCCGAAGGAGAGGCTTACCTCCAAAGTTGATTGCCTGCCTCAACAGAAATGAGTTTTCCGCGAAAACAAAAACCCTCATCTGATCTTGTTTAATTTTTTAAGAATATCCTGAGCCAAGTTGGGACAAACTGAATAAACAGATTTGTAGAACGTGCCATCTCAGCTTTCATCCCACAGTTTTCTTTATATCTTCCTACAATAACTACCAGTGAAGCCTAACTTAACTAACTCCCTTCCCTTCCTGGTCGGAGTAAACCACTTGTCGCATTGCGCCGACCGGGGGAGGGACTTGTGAGCGAGGTCCACCCCGATGCCCAAGAGCATTAAGGATTTTGGTGGGGGGATTTTTAGAATCAATCTCACACAAATTTGGTTGATTGTTTTTCCTCTAGTTTTCACTTGGGGGTTCTTTCAAGCTGTCCCCATCTATGTACTAATTTTACTAATGGTCAACACATCTCCTTCATTAATGATGATGATTGCAAAATTTTCAATTTCAGATACTGTACAGTGCAAAATGTGTGGTGCAGGATGAGGCAGGAGAATTGTAATCACCAAAAATGAAAGTTGAAAGCCATATGTACAAGGTCCTAAAAAATCAAGAAAAATATGGAATGAATCCCCATGATTAGAGATGGGCGGGGATAATCCATTGCGGATATCCGCTATCCGCTGGCGGATACCCGCCAGTGCCAGCGGATGCGGATTTGGGAGGTACACGTACCTTGTCGGCTGGAAGGTTTCCCTTCCAGCCGGCAAGGTACATGTACCTCGTCGACTGGAAAGGTTGCCTTCCAGCCGGCAAGGTACATGTACCTCGTCGACTGGAAAGGTTGCCTTCCAGCCGGCAAGGTACATGTACCTCGTCGACTGGAAAGGTTGCCTTCCAGCCGGCAAGGCATGTACCTCGTCGACTGTAAGGGTGTCTTTCTAGTCGGCGAGGAACATGCCTTGCTGGCTGGAAGGAGACCTTTCCAGTCGGCAAGGATGTGCCTTGCCGGCCATTTAGAGGGCGGGTATCCAAGGATATCCGCTCAGATACACGCTAAGGCTGGGTGATATCCGCCAGCGGATGCGGATGCCGCTTTCCCCGGAAAAAGCTGCCGGATATCCGGATGCAAAGTGACCATCTCTACCCATGATCTTATGCATCTTTTGCCTCCCCAAAACGTGATCATCAGACAAAAAATGGTGCTGCTGCACATGATTGAAGAATGTGGTTTTCCTAGTTCTCTTAGGCCGCGGGCTTGACTTAGCGCATAAGTCCCTCCTTCGGAGGTTCCCTTTGGGACAGTGTCCCCCCTCCAATAGGGGGATTTGGTTAAGTTAGCAGTGAAGCTCACTTCTTCTTCAGTGATTTTCCTTATTTGTGAAGTAAGAGCAACTCCACCTCCGGCCGTAAATTGGGGCAACAGGTGGAATTTACAGACTCAACATGACCCACTGTGGTCACTAAAATTTACAGCAGTCTGTAAAATCTCCTCAAAAGTCCTCACATGGAGGGACTCCTAAGGACTCACCTAAGGCCTACAAACAACACTTTCACACAACAACATTATGTGAAATTCAACCCTCACACACCACAATGCCCTTGGCAGCACACCTGTCATCAAATTTCACAAACCACTCCTCTGAGTTGCGGTGTATACTGCAGCAGTTTGAGACTGTAAAACTGGCTGTGTGGACCCGATCATCAAGATTTTATAGCCCTGAAGTAGGGGCCATGGTGAAATTGCTCTAACTCAATTTGAATTTTTTTGCGCTTGCAGAGATCAAATCACAAATCATCTCACGTCCAATGCATAGTATACAAACCTCAATATAATAATATTGTATTTACTTGGATGAGTTCCAACACATTCTGACAGTACAACACAGGATCAAGCTATGTTCTTATGACCAGATATAACCAACAGAATATCCGGCCATAATCAGGGCGGATTGCTTGCAAAATTTTCAAACATCAACCATTTTACAGGACATTTCTCACCAGGGAAGATGGATATTCAAAAGTTTGAAGCAACTAAAAATAAGATGAGAAGCCTCCAATTCTGATGGTCATATCCTCAGGATAAGAAACAAATTTCAACAGGTGAGTACCGGGAAACATGGGTGAGGGGACCATTTCTACTCCCATTTGGCTGGAGTGTGTAGGGCAAGACATGCCACTTTAGATGCAAGTCCCTCCTTTGGAGGTTGCATAGCAAACTCCAAAGGAGGGACTTGTCTGAGTATCTATATGTCTTATTTTAGATATCAAAATCAATTGCATTCTGACCAATCAATATCAATAGATAGGTATCTGTTGAATTGAATCACACACATGTTAGCCCGCACTGTGTTCTATCCCACTGGTCATGTTATGACTGATTGATCTCAAGAAAGATGTGTTTCTTGTATGAGATTAATGTCAACTCATTAGTCACATTGTGACTGATAGATCTCAATAGATGGGTTTTTCTTGAAACAGTCTACCTAAAAGTGAAATGTAGTCACTACATTTCATTGCATATAAAGTTGGAGAAGATAATAAAAAGATACTGAAGACACAAACAAATCACAAATCTGGGTTTCTCAAATTAAAGGCAGCTGAGCAAGCTCATCACTTTGGAGCAGCCATTGTAGTCTTTGTATATCTTTGACTGAGCATGCAAGTTGTGCAGAGAGCTCTTACAACTTGCAATCTACAGAGGCACATGAGGGTACTGGCAAACAGCTGTCAACCCTGGTTATCCCTAACCAGCGGGTACCAACCAATTAGGGGGATTTTACTGTGTAGGTTAGTAGCAGAACCTTGCAGGGCTTGTTGCTTAGCTGGAGATTCAGTGTAATGGTGCTGGATTATATAATGCTGTCAGACTGCTTACATCAGGATTATGGATATGAATTTAAAGGCTTCTGTTGGCTTCTTAGAATTGTTATAATCAGGTTAGGACATTGTACGCTGTTAGCATTGACCCAGTGTCAAATATGCTATAGCTTAGCAATAATCATAAAGATAAATTGTGGTGGTTGATGATTAAAGTTGGGCTAAAAAACTCAGGTGAGCTAAGCCTACACATCTTCTGGATTCAAAATTAAGCATATTTCATAATTTAAGAGCATCCACATCGGTGTGCAGATTAAGCAGGATTAGCTGCCTAATCTAATCCTCCCAACCACATCGGTTGGGATTAGAGGTTGGATTAAGTTAGCTCTAGGGTTAGTTTTGGAGCTAGCGGGGGTTAAATTTATACCCCACTAATCCTGGGATTAAAGAGGTCACTAATCCTCACTAATCCAATCAACCGATGTGGATGCTCTAAGGGGCTTGATTAATTGAATCCCAAACCCTGGGGATGTCCTGAGGAACTTCTGCGGACAATCTCAGGATGTACCTTTCCCCTATTTTTTTTATTCCCTGTGGGTTTGGGAGTTGATAACTCAAAAATTAAATAATAAATAATAAAAACCCCTAGTTGGTTTGGGAGTCAATAACCCAAAACCAACTGGGAATTTGGGGGTCAGCAAATTAAACATAGCCTCCAACAGCTGAGAGGAACCCTTTTGGCTGTTGAGAGTAGTGGCAAAAAGAGCCAAAAAAAACACTAAATTGAGCTTTAGTGGGCCCTTTCTTTGTAGCCTGTGCATGTAGCATTAGCATAGTTTTGGCATAATTCCGCTGTGTTACATCAAAATGCAGTAGAGTTCTGCATTTTTTACACTGCACTAATGCTACCTTTAGCTTAGATTTCCCATTGTGGTTAATCCTCAGTGATTCTTTAGCTTGAACAACCCTCTTGATCAGAGGGGGGGCTCTCTGCAGGAGAGGCGGGGGTTGATAAGCGCACGCCAA